TCTGGGACAAGTGAGGCCAGCAGGACAGGCCCAAAGATTCCAACGTCAGAATCCAAGAGTCAAGGCTCCCCAGGGGCCTGGGCCACCTGTTTCTGGCTGGGGGGAGGGGGCAGGGCAGGAACTGCCAGTCCCCAGCCCTGGTATGGGGGGTGGGGTGAGCCGCTGCCGGAGGCGTTTGCACAGCACTGAGTTTCCAGGGGAGGACTGGGGTGGGGCTGCAAGGGGCTCCGGCCCCTCCCCCGCTCTGGCCCCTCCTTCTCCCCTTCTCTGGACCCCAAGGGAGCCAGGGTGCTGTATCATCCAGGAGAGGGGGCGAGGCTCCCAGGCCAGCAGAGTTCAGACCCCAGAGCCCGAGAGAGGCAGGCACCAAAGTGCTGGGGGCCCCACCAGGCTCTACACCCTCGCAAATCCAGAGGGTGAGGGAGGGGAGCCCCTCCAAGCCCCTGGGCCACCTGGACATGCCCCTTGGTCTTGGTCGGAGGGGGCACCCCGGGGGCCTGGGACCTGCAAGTCTCCCCAAGCCTGCCCAGGGACCCCGGGCAGAGAAGGGCAGGCAGAGCCAATCTGTGGCATTAAAAGGACAGAAGCCCCTCTCCTGCCGTCTGCTCCCCGGACTGGGGGTGGTTCTGGGAGGCAGCGCCAGAGACGAGCGGAACCATTGCTGTCCATCGGCTCCTCTCCTAGCCCTGCATCCTTCCTGGAGCTCCCGAGAGCTCCTGCTAACCCCCAGCCCCACAGACAGACGAGAGGAGACCCCCACCACGTGTTCATGGTGCAGAAGACCCGCCCGACACACCTAGGTTTGGCTGGGAGCAGTTCACCCCGACCCCGGCCACTGAGCCTTCGCTCCGTGACATACCCGTTCTCCAGATGTGGACACTGAGGCTCGCAGCTGTCCCATGCACGACCCAAGGGCACCCAGCGATACCTGGATCTCAAACGCTGTGGCGCCATGTTGGGGGAGGGGAAAGGGGGCGAGGGGATCCCACCCTGTGCAGCTGACCCACGGATTTCCATGCATCCACTGCAGGCCTTTTGCCTTGGAGGCTGGCGCCGCCTGCCCGCCCCAGGAGGACGGCGGGGTCCGCGGTTGTGGGGGCTGGTGGAGGACACCCAGCAGAGCCCCTCGCCCAGGCCAGGCGGCTGACTCACCGGCGCCGACTGAGGAACGCGCGCCTCCCGCGTGTGCGCCCGGAGACGCAGCGCTAGCAGGGACAGGGATGCCGCGTGGACAGGGGTCAGGGGCTCGGGGCCCAGGGGGCGTCCACCAGGGGCAGAGCCGCGGAGGGACGTCAGCGTCGGCCCCGGGGTGCGGGCGGCGGGGCGGGACCGTGAGCGGACGGCGCCTGGGGACGGCCAGTTCGGAAGCAGGGGCTGCGACCCCGGCCCCGGGTCTGCCCCGCTGGGCCAACGCCCGCTCCACCGCCGCAAACTTGCTCCAAGTTTGCCTGCTGCGCTCGGATCGCGCGCCGGGCCAGGGCGCACGGAAGCGCAGGGCCTCACAGGGGCGCGAGGTGCGTGGCCGCCCGCGGAGAGCAGGGGTCGCACGCCCCCGGGCTCCACGCCGCCGCCGCCGCCGCCGCCGCGGGAGCAGACTCTGCGGGCCCCGCGCTTACCTGCCCGGCCCGGCTCGGTCGCCGCTCGGGGCTGCGCCCGCCGCCGCCGCCACCGCCGTCCTGCAGCTCCAACTTCGCTCGGATTGAAATTCCTGCCCAGTTTCGCCCATCGATCCGCGCGCCGCCCCGCCCTCGCCCGCCGGGGGGGGGGGTCCGCACCGCCCCCTCGCTCCGCCCCGCCCCTCCCTCCCTCGCCGCCGCCCGCGCGCTCCCGCCCGCCCCCGGCTGCTCCGGCCCAGTCCCGCGCCGAGTCCCTCCCGCCCGCCCCGCTTCTTCCCGGCCCTGCGCGCCCCCAGCTCCTCGCCGCCGCGGGGCTGCGCCTCCCGCCCACCCGAGGGGGCTGGGGGCGGGGCGGCATTAAAACGCGCGGAGGGAGAGATCCTCGCGGCCCCTACCACCCACGTCTAAATGGTTGGGGAGGGGGCGCAACAGCTGTGCCCTGAATGAGCCGCCTCGACCCCCACCGCAGAACGCTAAGCCCCGGCGTCCTCGGAGCCGGAACTTCCCGCGCGTCCCGCCCGATCCCGGAGCCTGGGGAGGGCTGTACCCCCGCCGCCCCCGGCCACCGTTCACCCTGACCTGTGCGCCCAGCCCAGGGGCTCCGTCCGGGCGCACGCCCTGTGCAGCGGGGAAACTGAGGCAGCAGCGGCCGGGAGGGGAGCGCCAGGCCCTCCAGCCCGTCGGAAGCCAAGCCCGCGCTGAACCCCCAAGAGGGGGCCCTCCGCCCGGCTCGCTCCGGGCCCACGCCTCGGCCCCGCTCCTCTCGCCGCCCGCGCCCCCTCCCCGCTTCCTGTCCCCGCCCGCCTCTGACTCCCGGCCTCAGTACCCCCAGCACGCTCTGCGCTCCTCGCCAGCAGCTGGGCAATTCACCGAGCATACAAAAGACTCCGCTCAATTCAAAGGCAGCAAATCAAGATCAATCCTATCGTGTTTGGGGACGCGAGAGGAAACGGGAACTAGCGCCCACAGAAAGGCCCGGACCCCCTGGGCTCCAGGCCCCAGGAGCCAGGGCCACACCAGGCCCTCCACGAGTGCTGGTAGCCTCCTCAAGGCCTGCAGGGCGCCCGGATGCTGGGGTCGCCGTGTCCCCCGCCACTTGGGACAAGCATGGGGTGAGGGGTGCCAACGCACAGTGCACAGGGCGGACAGGGCACTGGGGACACCTGAGCCGTGTCCCCAACACAGCCAGGCCCCAGGCCAACAGTAAGCCCTTGTTTAGCGACCAGACACTGCGGCTGGGCTGGGCCAGGCCTGGCCGGCGTGGGGTGCTGGGGGGTGGGGGTGCCCCCTTTCTTCCTTGCCTATCTAAGGCCTTTGGGCTCCTACTGGGGAGCAGCTAGTGAATGCCCAGTGCCCCCCCCGGCCGCTCTTGGCAGGCCCAGGAGAGCGACCTTTAGCTTCTGGCCTGGCCGGCCCTGCACGAGGAAGATCAGGGTCAGCCCCCACGGGTCAGCTGGCCAAGGGTGGGCGCTGGAGAGGCAGCGTCAGCTCCTTGCGCACCACCCCAGGAGGGAACACAGTGGGCGCTCCACGGGCACTGCCTGGGGGTACTGTGCTGAGAGCCATCCTGCTCACTTACGACCCCCAGTGGCCTCCCCAGATGCAGGGGGCCATGAGCCCCCTCCTGCGGTGTGACCAGCCCAGGCCGGATCTCAGAGCGCCCTTCACCCACACTGGGCTACATAGAGACAGGGACCCAAGGAGGGGCGCCGAATGGCTGGGGGTCCGGAGCCTGTGCGGAGCTGAGCCGGGCGCTGAGGGGCTCGGGGACTGGAGGCGGGGCCGGGACCTCGCAGCTGCACCCCTCACACCACCCCAGCGGAGGCTGCGCCCGCGGCTGCGCCCAGGGCCCCCGGAGTCCCGGCCGGGTCGCCCCTCCCCCGAAGCCGCGCCGCCAGGCGGCCTGCGCCTAAGTCATTAACTCTGATCCGGAGACGCCACCGCCGCGGGGACATCTGTCAGGGACTGAGCTCCGCACTCGGCGACCCCAGACCCAGGGTGGGGGCGGGTGCCATGCCTCACTCTCGGGCGCTCTGAGAGTGGCTAGGAGGGTCTCGGGTCCCGGGGGTCCACTAGCAAGGGGGCGGGGCCGGGTCTGGCGACGCGGACTCCCCAGGCTGGTGGGGGGCTGGGCTCTGTCCCCCGCCCTCCCCATCGTGAAACCCACTCCCTCTCCGAGCTGGGGGTTGGGATGGGGGAACACGGTCCCCCGGGGTGCGCGCAGGCGACGCCGGCAGGGGAGACCCCACAGCACTGCCTACCGTGCGCGTGGCTGCGCCCCTAAACCCTTCCAGGAGTTTCGCGTGTCCCCTCCGTTCTGACCGCGGTCACCCCCTCCCGCCCCTCGGGAAGGAGGGCGCTGGGCTGCGGGGCGGGGGGAGTGGTGATGCGCGCCCCGGGGGTTGGGCGCGCGCGAGGCGGCCAGGAGATCCCCGCTGGTCCCGGGCAGCCCGGGCCGGGGGGCCTCACACCCATTCCGCGAGGGGAACTCGGCGGGGATCCGTACTGTCTCACATGCGTCCGCCCGGCCCCTGACCGGGTGGCGACGGATCCACACCAGGCAGTTGGGGATGAGAAAAAGTTCGGGGGGGCGACACCCCTAGACCGAGGAAGACAGAGCGGGAGGACAGCAGGGGCCGGGAGGCAAGGGGTCTGCTCCCCGGGGGCGGCTGGAGTCACGCACGCTAAGGACAGCGCCGAGCCTGGTCCTCCGGAACCGGGCAGCGGCAGGCAGAGCCCGGACCCGGGGCTGCAGGGGAGGGGGGCGGAGCGGGAGGCGAGTCGGGGTCCTGCCGACGCCCCCGCCTTGACGCGGGCGGCGCGGAGCGGGGCGCTGCCCCCTCGCGGGCTGTCTCCCCGCCGGGACTCGGTTGGGGGCATTCTCTGAGCCAACTTGGGGCGTCGCGACCAGCCCAGTGCACGAAACGGCGAGACCGCCTCCGCCCAGCCCTCCTCTCGGTCCGGGCGTGTTCAGGAAAGTTTCGGGGTCCCCGCGGCGCCGCCTGGCCCGAGGGGTCCCGAGCCCCGGCCCCGGGGAGGGAAGTTTGTCCAGCTCCGCTCGGCTGCCGCGAACTTCGGATACGCCCGCCTCCGAAGCGGGTGGGTGGGCAGGGGCGCCAGGGAGCCGTGGACCTGACGCGCCGCATCCAAAGCACCACGGACGTGGGGTACTCGGCCGCAGCGCGGGCGCCCAGGGCAGGGCGCGGGGACTGGGGCGACCCGGGCTGCAGGAGCCAGTGGGGACCCCCGGCCGCCCCCGCGGCCGCCCCAGGGCAGCTTTCGCGCCTCCGCCGGGGCGGGGACCCGGCGACTCCCCGGCTGCGACAGAAAGGACCCCCGCCTCCCTGCCCCAGGCAGACCCCTCCCCCGCAGGCCCGCTCCTACCTGGGCCGGGGTGCGGGCCCGGGGCTGGAGGCTCGGTCGCCGGCGAACGGCGCGCGCGTGCCCAGGTCCCCGGAGCGCGGCGGCGGCGGCGGCGGCGGTGTCTTCCCCTCCTTCCTCCTCCTCTTCCTCCTCCGGGCTCGCTGGCTCCAGACAGACCTCCCCCCCCTCCCGCGCGGCCCGCCCCTCCCGGAGCCCTCCGGGCTGGACTCGGCCTGCGACGGGGAGCTGAGCGGAGCCGGCGAGCGCCGGGCTGCGGCGCTCACTGCGTCAAGAGCGGGGCGAGAGCGGGGCGGCGGCGGTGGCGGCGGCGGGGACCGCGCGATCCGAGCCCGGGGCCGGCCGGGCAGGCGGGGGAGCAGCGGCGCCGGCGACGCCGAGGGGCCGGGCGGCTCGGGCTCCCGCGCGGGCGCGGGCGCGGTAGCGGCGGCCGCGGCGGCGCCGAGGTGGCAGCGCATTCTTTCCGAGCGAGAGCGGAGGTTTCACGTAGGAGCCGCGCGGGGCGGGCTGGAGCAGGGGCGGGGGCCGCGTGGGGGCGGCCGCAGGGCCAGCGGCGGGCGACGGCCCCGCACGTCGGTGGACCGGGGGTGTCCCAAGGGGGCCGCTCGCGGGGAAGTTGGAGCGAGAGCGGGGCGGCGGCGGGGGGGGGAGGGTGTAGATGAGAAGCCGGAGAGACAGCGTCGCCCGCGCCCTGCCGGTCCGCCCCGAGCGCCCCCAGGCCTCAGCGCTGCGACCCTTGGCGACGACGCGGGGCGGGGATGAGCGCGCGCGTGCCGACACGGCCGTGCGCACCCCAGGATCCGCGTGGAAGTTCACCCGAGTCAGACCCTGTGTGGGCGCGCGCGAGGGGTGGCGCGGTAGACGCGTGTGGGGTGGTCCGGTCCCCGGGGACCTTGCCCTCCCCCAAGGTCGCCCACCCCTTCCGCCACCGCCTCGCGCGCGGTGGGGCGCGCGGGTCTGCCCGGCACCTTGGGATTCCCGGAAGGTTTGGGGTACACATTCTCCCACCACTGCCGTTTCTCCTTTCTTGGCCTCCCGAATCCCCGGGGGGGGCCGAAATCGCACCCGCAGCCTCGGAGCCATGTCTCCCAGGGCGGCTCCCACTCCCCACCGCCCCTACCCCAGCCTGCGGCTTTCGTGGTCGGTAAAAAAATCTAAATCCAGCTCAAGGGCGCCCTCGCCCGGCCACGAGCTGCGCGCCGTCTCCGGAGCCGTGGCAGCGGGGCTGGGGGAACCCAGGTCGCCGGCCCACACCGGGCGCGAGCCTCCGCCGCGCTGGGCCGGGCGACCCCGCACCCTCGCCTCCAAGCCGAGTGAGGCTGTCCGCCCGGCTGCGCGCGCCCCCAAAGGGGAGGGGGCTGCTGCAGAGGGGTCCCCCCCCCCCCGGGCATGCCTCCCGTGGGAGGTCCCCAGACAGGCTTCCGATGGCCGGGGAGGCTGCCGGGACAGCGGCTGGGGCTGGGCGCCGCGGCCTCTCCGCAGCAGGTAAACTCCGTCCCGCGTGCGGGGCGGCCTCCCGCGCCAGGCGATCCTCGCCCCTGACCCTGAGTTCCCGCGGGCTGTGGTGAGAGGCGGGGACCCGGCACAGAGCGCTAAGGATGGAGGACGCGCCACCACCTTCTCTGGGACCCGCGGACCGAAGCGGGGCGGGCAAGACCAGAGGCCTTCCAGGGAGCCCTCCCGTCCTGGAGTCCGTGCCCAGGGCCCTCAGACCTGGAGCCGGGCCTCGCGGCTATCCTGCCAGGCCCGGTGGCCTCCGGGAGGCCCGTCCTCACTTCCTGCTGGGCACCGCCCTCTGACCCCTGAATTTTGCCCCAGCTCCCTCTGCGGCTCTTCACGTGTTGGAACCCACCCCCTTTCTCCTGGGAGAGGCTGTGCCCCCCCCACCAAGTGGCCAGATATCCCTCCCCAGGACAGAGCCAGACCCCGGGGCAGACCCTAAGGGAGGAGATGAGAGGTAGGGGGAGGAGGTTGGAGCAGGCCCTCTGCGCCAGCCGCATCCCCCCTCCCCTTCCCGCCTCCCCCTCCCCCTGCTCATCTCCCCCTCCCGCCTTCCCCTCCCTCTCTCCCTCCCCCTCCCTCTTCTCCCCATCTCTCCTCCCCTCCAGCAGACACGTGTGCCCACAATGGACACACTGTACCCACAGGGTGCACACGTGTCTACACCCCAGCACCCCCAACTCCCCAGGAGTCCTTGTGCCTGGAAGCTGGCTGCCCTGCCGCACACACCCATGGGCCCCCACACGTCAGGGCCCTGCCATTGCGTCCACTCACAGTGACCCTCACAAGGGGCACACACAGCACACACACGGAGGGCACGCACACACAGTGTGCAGAGAGCATGCGCACATGAGTACGAACACACAGCACACTGAGAGCACACACAGCGTGCACACGCACACGCGTGTTCCGCCTGGCAGCCGTGCAGCCCGTCTCTCCTGAGGATGGCCAGCACTAAGAGCACACCTGGAGCCAGGGCTGGCGCCTCCCCTGGCCCCGGCCCCGGCCGCCTCTCTGATGGGCGTCAGCTGTGCCTGCAGCCTCACCCTGGCCTGGCAGCGGCCCCGCCGGGGAGGGGGCTGGCGCCCTAACCGGGTCAGACCAACGCCCCACTTAGGAAAACCAACCAACCCTGCATGCTCTTTGGGGGGGGCCTGGGGCTGCCACCTGCGTCAGGTGCTTGGAAGCCCCTCCCTCCACCCAACCCGCCTGTGCCTGCGCCACCTGGGTGCCTCAGCGGCCATGGCCAAGCCTGCTGGGTGGGCTCCTGGACTCACTGGGGGTCCCAGAGCCCCCCTGACAGTGGAGGCAGGGGTGGCCCCTGGTCCTGTGTCCAGCAAGGTTGACCTGCAGGACCCCAGGGGCTGGGACCCGTGTACAGGCTCCCCACGCCCACCCTGAGGAAACAGCACCTGCACAGGAATGGTGGCCACCTCCCTCCGCCCGCCCGCCCCCAGTGGCAGCAGTGGACAGCCAGAGCCCCAGAGCCCCAGAGCCATGCAGGAGACACGGGGCCCCCATCAGCCCAGAGAGCCGACCTCCCCACATGTAAAGAGCTCTTGCAAATTAATACGGGGAACAGCAGGAAGATTAAAATCCCTGCCTCACCAAAGGTTAAAGGGCAGAGGTCAAAGTTTCCTGACCCACCCAGCGCTGTGGGGCCAGGACACAGACGGGGGCACAGCTGCAGGTGCCATGCCCAAGCGCCCAGCACCTGCTGCCAGAAGTGTGTCCTCCGGACGACGCATGGCCGTGGGCAGCACGCCTGCTACTGGCCCAGTCCACCTGGGGAGGCTGCTCCTCGGCCATCTCCAAGGCCCTCTTTCCTGGAACAAGGCCGCTGTGTGGGCTTCCCCCTCCCCCTCTCCTCCTGCCCCTCCCTCCCCCTCCTATTCCTCCCTCCCTCCCTCAGACCTGTGGGCCAAGCAAGGACGGCAGAAGAACACCGTGTGTCCACCGTGACCAGGAGACCGGGAACCGGGGCAGCAGCAGGTGCCGCCTGCTGGGGCTTGGCGTTATAGAATATAGAACCCAGAGTCCACGGGAGTGCGGTTCCTGGGACTCTGCCGGGTGTGGTTCCGTGTGCTGACCAATGTCCACGTCAGCCATGGCCCCGATGACAACACCAGACATCCCCATCGCCCAGACAGGTTCGCACGAGCTATCGCCCTACTATAAACTTGGAGGTCAAAACGAGATGAAAAATGACTTCCTCGCCGTCTCCCCAGGGCATGGAGACTCAAGTCCATGGGGCAGCCGTGACGAGCCTGTGCCGACCCTGGGGGTGGGCAGGACCCCGGGGCTCTCTTTCTGTCCGTGGCACCAGAGGCACGGTGCACAGCTGGCCGGTGCTCAGTGTGTCCCCACAGCTGGGTGTCGGCCACCACTTCCACGTCCAGACGTCCATGCACCGCCTCCAGCCACTTGCCACTCCCAACACCCACCCGTGGGCACCCACCGATTCCGTCCTTGTGTTTATTCGGTTATTTGAAAGGTACAGTTAGAGAGAGAGAGAGAGAGAGAGGGAGAGATTTTCCACCTGCTGGCTCACTCCCTGAATGGCCACAGTGGCCGTGGCTGCACCAGGCCAAAGCCAGGAGCTTCCTCCGGGTCTCCCACGCAGGTGCAGGGGCCCAGGCGCTTGGGCCATCTCCTCTGCTTTCCCAGGCCACAGCAGGGAGCTGGATCGGAAGTGGAGCAGCCGGGCTCTGCTCCTGCTCCGGCGGATTCTCCCAGCGTTTCCCAGGTGTGGACTCCCATGGCGTGTGTCTTCAGTGCCGCTGACCACATGGCTCACACCGTTGGTGTCGCCCGGCATCCCCGGTGGCGTGGGCAGACCTCGCTCCGTCAGCCATCCCACGTGTGGGGTACGCCTTGCAACCGCTGCTGCCCAGGACGGCCACGTGCCCACGCCCTCCCGTCTCCTGGGCTGCCCTCGTCCACATGGCTCCGGGCTTCCTGCTTTGAGAAGCCCACACGTTCTGCCACTCATGCGGCCTTCCACTCGCCTGCTGGACGCATGGGGGGTTCCGGTGCCCCCACCCTGGCGGCTGCGGTCACGGCCGTGCTGTCTGTGAAAAGGCGGCCCCTCCCCCGTCGTCACCCGCACCCTTGCTGGACATCCACCAACTGCGGGGTTGTGCCGCTGTTGAAGCTCCCACTGTGCGCACCGCTGCGGCACGTCCCCCTCTTGGGTTCACTGTTCGTCCTGTCAGGACCGAGTGGGGGGGCAGAGAAGCACCCCCGGTCACGCCCCACAGACTTGGCCACTGCGCCCCGGTTCTAGAAATTTCCAGGCATGCAGCAAGCAGACAGAACTGCGCGCCGGGATCCCGCGATTGGCCCGAAACCTGTCCCTGCCTCCTGCGCTGTGCCTAGGCACGTCCGGGATTGAGCTCAACCCGACGGTCACTCCTGGAGACCCAGCCTGTCCTGGAGGCACGCGGGATTCTCAGCCTGAGATCAGGGGGCCCACGGTGGGGGTGGGGGTGGGGGCGGCACCGTCAGCAGCCACCCGCGTGCCCTCCTGCCCGTGGGACGGAGGCGGCTTCGGGCTGTGTCCGTCTCCAGCGCTCACCGCGGGCCCTTGGGGCCAACCCCGTCACGTCCGCACACAGTCGGTGCTCGGGGGCCGCACCTCCCAGCCGGTACTGCGCTCAGCAGGAGCTGGGGTGGGCTCAGGGGGCGGGTCCAGCATGGTGCTAATCTGAGCTCACACGTGTATGTTGCATGTGCACATACGTGTGTGCTCATGCCCTGTGCATGTGTGTATGCATGTACGTGTCTGGTGTACTGCGTGCATCAGATGTGTGCACATGTGTGCATGTGTGTACGTGTGCCTTTGCACACCCA